AAAGATTTTTCCTCTTTTACCTCAAACGTTTGAGAGATTAAAGGACTACTCATTCTATATTTAACCACAATATTAATCATTAATATCCATTTTTGGGACATTTTAAAATATAGTTCAATATTTCATCATTCTTAAAATTCAATTTCTCTACCTATAAAGATACGCATAGGGTTTATTAACTTCTTATAACTCTCAATAACTTTGTTGAACTTCTAACTAGCCATATGGCTTCACATTACACTAAACACCTCATTAATGTTGAAATTTCTTGTATTTATGGCTCCCAACTATTAAAAATGCATAGAGCCATAAATGCTAGGTTTAAATAACCTAATCAACTCCTATTAAATTAACTCTATTTAAATCAATAGATAAAAACTCATAGCCTTTATAGACAAAAAATCATCTTTTCTAACAAACCCTAACTTCCATATTCATGAAAAATAGAAGAGAAAAAGAGGGAAAAAGCTTAGGCATCTTACCTTTAATGTTTGAAAGATTCAAAATACCCCCAATGCCTCAAATCCCAAGCCCTAGTAGAGGTTTTCACAAACTCTTCATTTTCTCTTTTGTTTCTCTTCTATTTTCTAGCTGCTTCGCCTTCTTATTTCTACAAAATCATGATCGTGTGCTACAACTTTTGTACCATGCATTGTAGCATATGGTACGGAGAAAGGACTCCTATGTTCTGATGGCTCGTATGTTGCAGTATCTTGTTCACACACTACGGCATGTGGCATAAAGTCATTTCTCTTTTTTTCTCACTTTTTGACCTTGCCGTGCTCCAAACCTAATCCAAGAGCTAAAATCACAATCCAAAACACGTGTTAGCTCTCTATAACCACATATTGTGTAAGTTTACATAATTAACCTCTTTTACTTAGCTAATTAGTGGTTAAATTTTTCCTAATGTTGCATTGTGCCAATTCAAAGTTAAGGATAGTTGCACTTCAAATTTCTAAAACGAATTTGTCCTATTAAGCCTAAAAAGAAAGAAGGCAATATTAAATCTCACCTACACAAGTTCTCTCACACAAGGGATATTTTTCTTTCTCCTTCTCTCTCATTATGGAGAATCCAAGTTACACATTTATGTAACTAAAAGTTACTTTAGACCACAAAAAATATAAGTTTTTTATTGCACCTTCATATTACACAAAGTGTCAAGTGTAGCACATAAATCTAGTAATCAGTTTATTCTGAAATATCCCTTCAAAAAATCAGAATAAATCTAGTAGTAATCAGTTAGTAACGCAAACACAATATCCATTTAAATTCAACGTCAGTAAGAAAGTCATGATGATATGAAGAAAAAGAAATTAATGAAACATTATTTTGCACCATCATAGTGGAATGTGAACAAGTGAATATAGATTAAAATTAAATATGGATCATCAAAAGGCAGTTATGAGTCATTTTATCGATCATGTGATGACCCAGTGTCGGCTGCTAGAGATTATGTCACACTTCAACGTTTGGTCCATATATTATTATTCAGAGACTATCTGTCTGTCTATCTGGGGGTGGTTAAAGATGTTGCAAAACAATTAGGAATATATCACAATCTTTAATTTAAGGATTATATTTATTTGATCCTTCCATCATGCCCACTCACAAATTTAGTTGAGACTAGAGATATTACAGCACATGGTAATCAATATCGATTATATTACAAATTCAGTCGAGACTAGAAATATTACAGCACATGAATAAATGTGCACTATTTGTCATTCAGATTTTTAATTAAAAAAACTATTCTCACTTATTATCTCATTATATGTCGATTCATTTCAAAGCGTTATTTCACATGTCATAAACTCATAATATTATTAAAAAATATGATAAATGGTCAAAAACTGCATACTTTTTCGTTCATAGCAAAGGAAATATGGTTTAAAGCATCATCAATATGTTAAAATATCAAAAATAGGTGACGCCTTTCCAAGAAAATCTCATGTTTCTTAAAGGAGAATGCAAAACCAATTTTGATTTCCCAATCCTAACAATGAAATAAATTAAAGAACGTGGCATTGATATTAATGGAAATGTCTACGATTTAAGTATAAAATCTTTTGTATTGAGTTTATGTAAAATCTTTTGTATTAATGGAAAATTTTTTGAAAGAGTTTCAGTACATTACTTACAAATTACAATGGGGTCTGACAATGTTGGAATCTCACCTAGTTAATTAAATAACCACATTAAAAAAAATGAATTTTTAAGGTTCTCACATGTTAAATATTTTACACTCATAATCCTCTCCTCTTTAACCTCTCTTAGATATTAGAATATATAACTATTACACCCACTCACACACTCTTCTGTGAATGTAAAAATCTAGATTATATATATTGTATTTATTGATGAGTCATCTTTTACTTAATATCGAATGCACATAACGTGCAAGAACGTGAGTAATTGAAGTTGGCCTTTAAAAGCACTAATTCACTCACCAATCTCAAATGAATCCCCCAAACTTCAAACCCACCCCTCAAAAAAATCGGAAGAGTATGTGTGTCTGATTTATTTTTACATGCATTTGTGTGTTACCATCTATACTTGTAGCATTAAGCCAAGAATCATTGTTCATACTAATATCAGCATTAAGCCAAGAATCATTGTTCATGCTAATATCAATGGATTTTCTACATTCCTTCAGTTAAACTCATACAATATCTTGACAAATAGAGCTTCCCTTAACCATTTTTACAAGTGTGTATATATCCTCAAAACGCAAATACATTTCTCTCTGTCGAAGTGCGTGTGTGTGTGTGTATGGATCTAAATGTAAGTCTTTGGTCTAGTCAGGTTTGAAGTTCTTACAAAATATATGTATGAAAGTGCATCGATTCTTGTGCATGATGAGTACGATCGAACTTGTGTTGGGAGCTTCCATTAACAGATAAAAAATCGATAAACGGAACACCACTACCACCAGCAGTAGTCCTGTCTTTTCTCTGTCGTCCTCTAACATTATGTTCACTATCTTGATTCACTTCCTCGTCTTCTCTTCTGGCGTTGTCTGTTACCTCGCTTCTGTTGTTAGAATCAGTGTTTACTTGAAGAAAGTCATAGAACTCAACTGATTGATGACTTTTATCTGCAATATTATTAAACAATCACAGTAATAAATAAGAAACTCCGCTTTTAAACCTCACAATTATAATCACTCGACAGAAAGACTTTGTGTGTGCTTCGTGCTATTAAATTTTGTGCAAATCACTGTCATATTATCACTAACTGAATGTTAATATCATACAATGTTTGATATACGAAAAATTGTTTTTTAGGGGGAGAAAACGAGAAATATATCTAGAAAAAAAATGATATTGATGCCTTTCTAGAAGAAAAAAAATGATATTGACGCCTTTTTCATTTACCTTTTAGAAAATATTTTTCCACCTACTAAACACTGTATCAGTGTTCTGCGGATTTGGATGTATGTTACTCCTTCTAATATTCAAAATCCAATCCATTCATTTGAGCTAACAGACATCAGAACAAATTCATTTGATTTCTTTGAATAAAGGGCAGAGATTTTCGAATATAGATATCAAGCCTAATTAGTAGCAGATTGATTGATTACTTAGCGCTTGACCATAGCATATCCAAATTCATACTGAAGAGTTTCCCTAAATCTAAGTAAGCGAGAGAAAGAATAGATGCAAGAGATTATAATAATTACCATGAAGTTTTTGATGAAGAGGAAGCTGGATTTTGAAAGTGATGATCAAACTTTCTGGGAAATTGAAGGAAAGGGTTATAAGGGAGACAATAAGCTGATGGCAAAGCAAGCTTGTCATAGTATTTCTCAACAAAAGCAGGAACAAGACTAGCAGCAGGACTGGTCGTCGTCCTAAGAATTGTATCATAGCTTGAGCGATGATGATGATGATGATGATCCTGATCATGATCATCAGTATTAGGAGGATCTGATCGCAGTGGAGAACACTGTGATGTGGTGAGCTGATGATGATGAGGCCGTTTTGCATAAAGCTTGGACCTTTCTCGGCGAATCCTAGCCATCATGACGTGCCAGTGATTCTTGACAGCATTATCAGTTCGTCCTGGAAAAAGCCTCGCAATCACAGCCCATCTGTTTCCGTGGATCCTGTGAGAAGCCAGAAGCCTCTCTTCTTCTTCCTCTGTGAATGGACTCCTATTAATTCTTGGGTCCAGCTGATTGAACCACCTCAACCTGCAGCTCTTCCCTACATAAATATATATAAATTCATTCAATTCAACATATATGCGAAACACAATTCTTTCCTTAATTGAGTTAATTAAACTCCTATGAAAGCTAGCTGTGGATTCAATTCAATTACCTGGCTACGTGCTCTCATGAACTATTTATAGGTGATCGACATATATATATATATATATATATAGCTAGTTAAGTAGTGTTAGATAATAGTAATTAATTAAGAAGACAATAATAATTATGTTCATAGAAACAGATGATGATGAATAATATTCTCACCTGATCTTCCTCGAAGCTTTTCAGCTATGGCGTTCCAATTATGAGGTCCATAACGCTCCACCAACTCTCGAAGCTTCTCATCCTCGGCCGGCCTCCAATGGCCTCTACTACACATATTATTATCTCCCTAACTACAAAACCAGAAACAAACTACAGAACCGAGGAATCAAACCCTAATAGTTATTAATTAGGGTTTAAAGTATATGATCCTTTAATTTGTCTTCTTCCTCCTCCTCCTCCTCTTCCTCTTCTGCAGAATCGATCTTATCTCCTTCTGCCAGCTAGCTAGAAACTGTGCAAGTGAAGCGAGAGAGATAAGAGCGAAGAAGAAAGCAAGAACGAAGAACGAAGACGAGAGAGAGAGAGAGAAGAATATATGGTGGGGAAGTGTTTTCCGTTAGAGAGTGGGAGAGTTTGGACAGACCTTGCACCAGCGATTGATGCAAACGTTTTGGCTAACAAACTCCTATATGAGTAACTCTTATATATATATACCCACACACACACAGAGACACGGACACAGAGACGCATATATTATTAATGTGTGGTGTGGTGTATATGTGGGATGGATGTTGGGGAAATAAAGAAGAAAAGAAAGAGAGGTTGCTTAGTGGAGCGAGTTTGGTTCTGCTTTCAACGTCTTTAATTTCCAAGTTTCTAACCTACAACGTCTACTTATAACCCACCAAGCCTCTCTCACTCGATCATTTTTCCATTTTTTATTTTATTATGCATTCCCCAATCTCATTACATTCAAACTATATCAATTTTTTTTTTTTTTGCAGACGGGTTGATTTGATTTTCTGACATCAACATGTAAAAATAAAACGTATACCACTTTGCTTGCCTTGATTAATATATGATATCATGTTATTGTTATTATTATTATGTGTGAATATAAAAGCCCACTAGAGACGTCCCAAGACTCTCTGAGGTCTCAACTTTCTTTTAGAGTAACGTCATTTGGTGGCTAATTAAGGTGCACGTTTATATATATGATCTACTGTTTGATTTAACAGAAATAAATATGTAAAATAGAATATTAAAAAAACTGAATATATGTAATCCCCATATTTTGGCTTATTTAACTGAAATAATCACAATAACTATTGTAGTATTGAGAGGATTGACAATTAAGTATTTTTTTAAAAAAATTAAAATTCCTCTTAATTAAAAATTATAAAAATAAATTTATATGCCCTCTATAAATTGATAAATTATTCTTCTCCATATATTTTTTGAATTTATTACTACTTTTTAATAAAAAAACCAAAGTAATATCTGAAAAGACAAAATAATCTAGTAATATATATACTTCAAGAAGCACAAGGAAGTAATTTAATTTCGTAGAACTTGATAATGATTTATATTTTAAAATTTTTATGTCTATCCAATATTAATTAATGTATAGATCGATATACGTAGGACAAAAGAATAAAAATAAATAAATGTGGGGTTTGGTAATGTTGTTAGACAAAATATTTGGAAGTCATGGGGAGGGAGGAGGATGTGTTTTAGGTTTTGATAAGTTTTCAGGCGTAACTAACATAACATTTTATCTTACAATCTTCACAACTGCACGTGGATAGACTACAAACTACCACCTTTTTGACTTCTATATTATTAATTTTGTCCCTCTTCCTCTTATTTACCATTATGCCCCTCTTTCTCCTTTCATTTTTCGGGGCAATCCATGTAGATAGAGAGTCATGCATGTCACATTCTTTTACAGACAAACTAGCTACTAATTAATCTATAACTTATTGATCAACATTATTAATAAGTGCCTTCTTAATAATTAATTCCAGGCAGTTAATAACATTAGTCTTTACAAAACATATTGGGATAACATGACTTTTAGTTCTTAAACTTTCTCCCAATTATTCCCCTGTCTTATTTTATAAGATATTTTACTTTGGTGTCTCAATATATAAGATGATTGAAAAAAAAAAAATTTATTAACGATGATTATTTTAATATTATCCTCATTATTGTACTTCATAAATAATTTTCCTTTGATCTCTTTCTTATTAATAAATGGCATTTTTGGAAGTTTATTGAAAAATTAAGATTGTAAACTATTTTAATAAACTTTTATTGATATATATAATTTTGCCAAAATACCTTATAAATGAGGACAAAGGAGAGTATTAGTTTTATCATTGATCTTTGACTCAATACAATTCAATCCTTACAATTTATTGAGTTAAGAAATATATAGGGATTGAGTTGTTCTAAATTACAAAACTATAATGATTGAATTGTTTCAAGTTTGGTGCATGATTGAATTGATAAATGAAAAAAAAATCAAGGACCAAAAGTTATATTTTGCCAAAAATATTCATGGGAAAATCACTACTATAAAGCAATGATTAAAAAATCAAACCAAACCAGAAGATCGGATCAGTTAGACCGTCGACTGGTCAGGCTAACGACTCAATCAAGCTGAAAAAATCTTGGAGAGTTTGGAGATAGGATTGGGCCACTTTGGACCAGCGATCAAACCAAGAACCAAATCCAATTTTCAAAAACATGCCCTTTTTCTTTTTTAAAAAAAAATTTTTATCAATTTTTTTAATTATTTGATGTTATGTTGTATCATGTGATCTGTTAAGTCATGATAAACTTAAAATATCTAGTTTTTTTAAATTAAGTAACAATTTTATATTTATTTCTTATATTTAAATTATTATATACAGATATAATTTTTTAATTTAATTATTATATCATCGATTCAATCATTAATTCAACTTAGTTGGACCATGCAAACCATAAATTATTGACCTTTTAAGTTTAATATCTAGTTTAATTTTAAAAATATTACTATAAAGTCTCCACCATAAGCACTATAATTATCCAAAAGTTTCACCAAATGTACAAATAGCTTAGCTCCCTATGAACTTAGCTGGAAATAAGATATTCTATAAATTAACCAAAATGTCCTTGATCTGAAAAAGGTGCGTATCCCTCTTTCCTTTAACTCAACCAAGACAAATTGGTCGTTGTGTCTAATCTATTCATAACTAAGTCTCTAGAGATCTCATATCATTTGTGCATTTGGTAGGATTTTTTGGGAATTAATTAGAATTTTTATGTGATACTCTACGGTGATTTTCCCAATATTCACTCATAAAGGTAATTAATTCAAGCATATATCACAGCATGTACACCCCTCATGAAGTGGGTGCTAAGTGTGTATGTACGAAAATATATATCATCAACATATATGTATAGGACATATCCACCTACGTTTTGTATAAGAGGTTGAGACCCAGTTAGTGGGTAGGTATAAACAGACATGACTCTTTTAATTTATTTGATTTTCAATACGGCATTAATTACAGATTCAGAAAGCATCAAATATTAGCTAGTGTGAAACTTGTTTTAGTTAAAGAATGTATAATTTAAAGGTTTAATTTAAAGGTGTTAAATGAGTCAATATTCAACACGCACGAATGTGAGGAACGAACATTTTTTTCCTCCTTTATTTGTCAAAATTTCGGTATCCAGATAGACACACAAATTCTTGATTTGAATTTGAATATTATAATAATGAAGTAATCTAGATTCACATTAAAAATATGAGGTCATACAGAAATATATGTCAAAGCTACATCTTATAAAGAAAAAGCACAATCATTTTCCCTCCTTAAACGGAACAAATGATATTCATGTGAAAGGTTTATTCTTGGAATGAATGGCATATTTATAACCTAACCATTGAAAATATAGACCAGAAATCATTTATTCTAACATGATCAATTCAAGATGATAAGGGAGACTCGGACTTCAGGGGTAGACCTGAAGGAGCTCAATCATGCATGCATTTAAATTTACAGCATAAATTCTTACATCTTATTCTATTTTAATTTTACCACCTAAATTAGCCTTATGTAATTTAATTTGAACTATAACTTACAAAGAATTGAAACACACTCGTTGCAGATAATTACTCCCTATGATCCATAATATAGGAAATTTTTTAAATCATTACTTTATCCAAAATACTCTCTCTTATTCTCCTTACAAGGCACATTCAAAAAGATTATTTAGACCTTAGCTGATACTCTTCATTTTAAATTATAAAATATTTTTAATAAAATTAAATATATCAATAAAATTTATTAAATACACTTTACAACTTTATTTTTTAAAAATAAAAATATAAATTTTTAAAAATGCCTTTTATTTAACACACCATTTATGAAAGAATATTAAATAGAGAGAATATAATAGGAAAATATTATTAATGAAACTTTAGTTTTGTCAAAGTGTATTATATTTGAAATGACGAATATTTTTCAACTGTATCTTATAATTTAGGATAGAATAAGTATAAAACACATAGAGAATTATTTATTATCATTTTCAAATTTTACTCCTATTGTAAACTTAATGTTATGGCTCATCATAAACTATGTATCTCTCTTCTTATTTGTAACAAGGGTAAAGTTGGACATTTTTTATCTTAAGACATATTTAATGAGTTAATTGTCAATCATTGATTCTAGTAAAATAGTTGAAAGCACTTTTTGTGCCCAGTAGGAGTTCTTATAATTTTTTTTTTCAATTATACCCATACCTCTTCATTTATTATTCATTTTAAAATGGTCCATTGAAATTTTTAATTGTTACTATTAAAATACTTATATAAGAAATTTAAAAAGTACAATTAGACATATGTATGTATGTATTTTTGTAAAGATTAAAGTTTCAATATAACTTTACCCAAAAAACAAAAAGCATAAATTAGTTATTAATAATGTCCTATATTGGAGACTAGAGACGGAGAGTAACACAGAAGCCATTAACGCAGAAAACCATGACCAAGGATATATACCAGCTAAGCTAGATGTTGATTAAGGGTAACCAATGAGACTTGGTCAAATTAATGTTAAAGTGCGATAAAGCCATAAAGATAAAGAATAATTAATCCAATTCTAATTATAACCAACTAAAGATTGATGACTCACGTAACAAAAGAGATCGATCAGGGAAATAAAAAAACGTGAATCCAACTTCATAACAAACCATCAAGGGCAGTTTCGCGCCTGATTGGTTTCGGTGCTCATCAGACCAAATTGGGCGATATAAATTTTTCACTTTGCATTTTATATTTTTTAAAATAAGATACTCTTTCCGTCTCAAATTATAAAATATTTTTAAATAAAATCTCCACATCAATAAATTAATTATAAATATACTAACAACCTTATTTTTTAAAACTAAAAATATAAACTTTTAAAAAATACCCATCATTTAATATATTGAAAAAAGAAGTGATGGAAATTAATTATAGAGAGATAAAAGGTCAAATTTAAAATTGGTGTATTTAATAAAATCTTAATCTATTTAAAGTTTCTTATATTTTAGAATGAAGAAACTCTTTTAAAAGTATCCTATAATTGAGATGGAGGGAGTATAAAATTTTAATAAATTTATCTTAACATCAATCTAGATAATATAAATTT